CGCACTGTGCTTACAGACCAACCAGTGGCACATAATAGACCGGATCTCATACTAGTTAAGAAACTTACTAGACAAACAACTCTTATTGAGCTGGCGATACCTAACACCAATAATTTGTGTGTAATACAACGAAAACATCTCAAAATACAGAGATTTAGAAATACAAATCAGGAGACAAGAGAATGGAAAGTACCCAGACAGTACCTATTATTTTATCTACTACTGGTATTATTCCCAAAAACCCCTAGGGAACATAAAACAGCTGGGTCTAAATGAACATCTTTATAAGGCTAAGCAGAAAGCTGTACTCCTCACAGCGACGTCCAGATGTGTACGAAAATTTTTGGAAGATACTCCAGCATACCAAGTCACCTAGGGCTCGATAATACGAAAAGAGTCCCATCAGAACTCAATCATTTTGATACCTTAGGTATCTGGGTTGAGTGAATTTTCCTCTTAGAGGGAGTGTGAGCTGTATGGCTAAATCTGGAAAAAAAAACTATAATATATAGAGAAACACTGAGGATAGATTTAAATTCAGCAATTAAAATTATGGCAAAATTGCTAAACGAAAATACTAACTTGCAAAAATGATTAAAAACGCCAACTCGCAAACAACGATAGATACACTTATTTTGACAACGGATTCGTGACCAGCGTGCAAAAATACGTCTAAAAATATGTATTGGTTAACCTCCGGACATAAAAAATTATTTCGATACAGAACTTTGCTGGCAAAATAAAAATTCGCCATAGAAACATGATTTTGACACCGATAAAGATTTCCCCCCTTTCAATATCCAAACAACAATTATCCAAAGAAGATTTTGTGCAGCAGTGTTACCGAATTAAAATCAATTGTCATTATCTTTTTTTAATTACATAAAATTGAATTCCACTTACAGTCAACCACACTTCTTCAAATTAACCTTTAAAACGTTTCCGTTTTATACTACGGAAAAACTTGGAACTTTATGCGCTCAAAATTCAAATGATGTACTAGAACTAGACGATATTCTAACACATGATATAATTTATAGTCTATCACACAAAATTTATTTAAAACTTCCTTTGTAAAAGGTATGATATTAAAAATCATATCGGGCTACATCACAGAACGTTTTCGGAATTAATATTGTGTATCAGTGCTATCCTAAAAGTATAACCATTTTAATTAAATCACACACAGACGTAACTGCGGTTAAAGTGAAGTGCCCATGGGGAAAGGGCAAAAATAGGGAGTTGATACTAGCATCAGTCTACCTACCCTCAGATGCAGCCACCCTACCACCAACAAGGGAAATGGAAGATCTGCTAGACCATTGTCTCAGTCAGAAAGTAGAACTTATTATCGGCTGCGATTCGAACTCTCACCACTTAGGCTGGGACAGCAAAGATAACAACGCTCGAGGTAAGTCCCTTTATGACTATATTATTATAAAAGATTTGTATATCTTAAATAAGGGCACCGAACCTACCTTTATTAATGTTCGTAGCCAAACAGTCATAGATATCACGCTGGCAACACCTTAGAAAGATAGCAAGAACAGCTTTTAATAGAGCGAAACGCACCAAACTCAAAGAGGATTGGGATTCTTATCAATCAAATCTCAGAGAGTTTAAAAAAGTCTGCAGACAAAGACAAAGAGCTGCTTGGAGAACCTTCTGTGAGGAAATCGAAGATTTCCCGCAGGCTTCCAGGCTACAAAAAGCGCTCTCAAAAGACCCACATCGGCATGTCGGCATACTAACGAAGGAAGATGGGAACAAAATTTCCAACCTTCGCGAAAGTGCTGAGGTCCTGATGGAAACACACTTTCCCGGTTCTAGTGTCTCAACAGCACCAAACCGGATGGAAGAAACAATCATACCCTCAACAAACGACTGGCATCTCGCCAGAACAATGATTAATGAGGAAAAGGTAAAATGGGCCATATCGTGCTTCACCCCTTTCAAATCACCAGGGCCTGACGGTATATATCCAGCCCTACTACGGTGGGGACTGGATATCCTTCTGCCGCACCTCGTGGAAATATTCAGAGCCTCTTTGGTTCTGAGATATATTCCTAAGAAGTGGAGAGAGGTACGTGTGGTCTTCATACCAAAACCAGGTAGGATGGACTACACCCTACCAAAGGCTTTCCGACCAATTAGACTAACATCCTTTCTGTTGAAAACGATGGAGAGGCTATGCGAGAGGTACATAAGGGATGAAGTTCTGGCTCATAACCCACTTCACCCAAATCAACATGCATATACTTCGGGAAGATCTACCGATTCTGCACTACATCATGTAGTGGGAAGAATTGAAAGATCGCTGGATAATAAAGAATCCACCCTAGGTATATTCATAGACATTTGAGGGAGCGTTTGATAAAACCACATTCCCAACTATCACCCAACAGCTCAACGTTAGGAATGTTCCCCTGGCCATAAGCAAATGGATATTTAGTATGCTCTCCAGTAGAGCAATAAGCATAAATGTAGAAGACGTTTCTGTTAGAGGCATGGTTACGAGGGGATGTCCACAGGGAGGGGTGCTATCACCCCTACTATGGAACATAGTTCTAGACACCCTGGTTGACCAACTCAACAGCAACGGTTTCTACACAATAGCCTATGCAGACGATATTGCTGTCCTACAAAGCGGTAAGTTTGAGAACACACTATGTGAGAGATCACAAGTTGCTCTTCGACTAATAGAAACATGGTGCAAGGAACACTCACTATCTATAAATCCTAAGAAAACAGAGATGGTCCTCTTTACCAGGAAAAGAAGAATCACGGGCTTAATACCCCCAAGGATTCTAAACTACAGTCTAAATTTTTCTGACGAGGTGAAGTACCTTGGTATTACCCTTGACAGGAAGTTAACATGGAACTCACACCTATATGGTAGAGCTAAAAGAGCATATATTGCCTATGAACAGTGTCGACGAACGGTTGGACGCACCTGGGGCCTCACGCCCAGGGTGATCGCCTGGGTCTATACCGTTGTCATTAACAGCGATTAACAAACTAAACCATATTCAGCGGATGGCTTGCATAAATATAACAGGTGCCATGAAAACCACACCAACTGCTGCAATGGAGTTGATCATTGGCATCACGCCTCTAGATATATATGTCAAAGAGGTGGCTCTAGTGACAATGATGCGACTGCGCTCAGCTGGTGCAAACCTTGATGTAGGAATGGGACAATTGAGAACTCGTTTCTGGCGGGGAGAGCTGGATGCGTTACCAGTACTACAGGCAGGCTGCGACTCAATTGAACCAAAGTTCGTCTTTAACAAACCCTACAAAATTGAAACAAGACAGTATATGGAGACAAACATGGCAAATGCCTACTGCATATACACCGATGGCTCCAAAATGAAAGAAGGCTCAGGATGCGGGATATACTCCAGATCACTGAACCTAAGAATAAAGTAGGGTATGGGCAAAAATGCCAGTGTAGTTCAGACAGAACTAACTGGTATTTCCATAGCCGCAAAAGAGGACACAATAGGAATAAAGGCAACCGCATTGCTGACCAATTATCTAGGAAGGCGGCAGGCCTAAGACTCTTAGGACCTGAGGATCTTTTTGGTTGGTCAACTACAACAATAGCGGAAATTGTCAAATGTCACTCCCATACGCAAACCGTAAAAAGATGGGAAGAAGGGAAAGGATGTAAACTTGCCAGGGTAACACTAAGTAACCTTGAAGAGTCAACATCAAAGAAGTACTTGGGAATGACCAGGAAAAATCTACGTTTGGCAGTTGGTTTTTTAACTGGTCATTGTCAACTAAGCAAACACCTCCACACACTGGGGCTAGTAGACACACCTCTATGTAGAAAGTGTGAACGAGAAGACGAAACTGCAGAGCATGTCCTATGTGAATGCCCAGAGTTATCGTTAATACGAGAGTACGCGTTCGGCGAGTCCAGGCCTACACCTGCCCACATAAGTGAGATGTCTCCTGGTGACTTGTCCACCTTCCTAGAAATGGCAGGATGGACAATGAGTTAAGGGTGACAGCTCCCTGGGAGGATGCACAATGGGTCAATTGTGGCCTAAGTGCTGTGAGACTTAACCCGCCCTCCCTACTCTACAGATACAGATAAATCACACATGAAATTTGACCAAGGTTATTACAAAAATGTGGTTAATAGTTTCTGGATGTAGATGTTTTAAGCCACTAAATACATAGGTAAAAACCCTTTAAATATTGTTAAATTAACTTTGAGTTACATTATTTAACCTTATAAAGTTTTTAGTTAATTTAACAACGTTTAAAGGGTCTTACCCATGTATTTAGTGGCTTAACTAAATCTACATCTTTACATCTACATCCGGTAACTATTAACCACATTTTTGTAATGACCTTGTTCGTTCTATGATGTAGCCCGACAGAGTTTTTATTATTATACCTTTTATAAAGAAACTTTTAAATTAATTTTTGTAATACATGGTATACAGCCAGCTACAGGAATTTAGTTTCCTTGTGGATTATAATCTATCAATTCACAGTGCTAAAATTGTTTCCTGCTTTTTTACCATTTTTTCCTTTTTACATAAGATGAACTACAACATCTTTAGTGACCATCCAATAACCAAAAAGAAAAAAAGAACAAATCATTGGCAGACAGAACTAAAGTGTCGCAGAAAGCATAGAAATACAGGAGACCTCTTAGTGGAGAGTATTCCAGCATGAAATTATCATGAAAATGAATTCTCATGAAATTAATTTGATGTAATGAACGACAGCAGATTGTAAATATAAGGAATTATACAAACAGGCTATAAAACCCTGTATACTAATATTGTAGAGGGCTGTAGTAAATCACTCAGGGCAACGGTCTGGGAGGAAGTTATGATTATTTATCTGACAACTTTTGGGACATAGTGATTACTACAAAGACAGGAAACAGGACTCTCTAACAATATATTACGGATATTTGAATGTTATTGACTGACGCCCTAGTGTCAACTTTGGTTATTAGTTTAAATATTTACCTGATACTGAAAAATCCACAGAGTTTGATCCAAAAATAATGCTCTCTTTGCTATATACCGCAATTTCCCTGTCAGCTCTAAGATCGAAAAGACGACACTAAAAATAAATATATTATACATATAATATTTATTTATAATAATAGTTCATTATTTACTTAGTCACCATTCAAATGAGGTAAAATAAAAATTTAATAAACTCAAATTTATTCACTCCGTGCGTGACTCGGGCGTCATCTACTCCCTGTACTTGATTCGGTATACCTATAATGTGTTATTTATATGGAATAAATGAAACATGTGAATAACTAAACAAAAGTTTCTTAAGTCTAGTTTTATTATTATTGAGAAATATTTGTTTTTTTTTCATGATTATTACAAAAATCAACAAATAAGTAACAAAGACTTGCGCCCAATAGTAGGCAAATTACAGTTCTTTCGTGTTGTGTTTTTTTCCTTAAACTAATACGAGTATATAAATTTTTTTGACTTCACACTTCCGAAGACTGTCATATTTACCACTATATCTCGACCGTTTTATGAAATTTATTCCATATTCATAATACATCGGTCAATAAGTCCCTGGCCTAACCATGAGATGGTGACTCTAGTAATTTTCCAATTAAAATTTCGGTAGTCCTAACCTCCAAAGGAATACTGTCAAAACATTCGTGTCATTCAGATAGAAGAAGGTTATTATTTACCAAGTTGCAGTGTTTAAAGTGAAGCTACTTTTGTGATTTTTATAAATAATAGATTCAAAGCAATTTCGTGTGTTAACTTATCACCGTTAGAATTTGTTTGACTGTATTTGACTATGTTTGTTTGTTGTATTGGATGGGAAAACATACCAGCCAAACTGAGCAATGGCTCAAAAAGTGTTACCGGTACTCCGCTTCTTCGATTAGAACTATTAATCGATGTTTGCTGAATTCATACCGACACCAATGATGCAGTATGAGAAAGAGTTTTTCAAATGGGTACCACTTTTTCCCACACCAGAGCAAAAACAACAACGAATTGAATCTCGGCGCTGTTTGGACATGTTTAATCGGAGTAGGTTTTGCATCAGTATGTCGGAATTGGTGAAACATGGATCCATCACTTCTCGACAAAGACGCAACAAACCTCTGGAAAGATTATGGCCCCTGTATTTTGGGACCCGCAAGGAATTGTTTTCTATGACTATTTGAAACATAGAGAAACAATCAATAGCGCAATCTACTATTATATCGGTTAATTCGACCGTTTAAAGGCTGAAATTGCAAGAAAAAGGCCCCATTTGCTCAAGAACAAATTGTTGTTTCACCAAGACAATCCACTGTGTGAAAAGTCGATGAAAACAATGGCAAAAATGCACGAATTGGGCTTTGAATTACTTTCGAACCCACCGTGTAGTCCAGATCTGGCCCGCAGCGATTACCAGCTTTTCCTGATCTAAAAAAATACGCCGTGGTTAGAGAACGCTTAAGAATATGGTAAAAATAAGCCTAATCGCTCATATTAGGAAATAATCACTGAAACTGAAGCCTATTTTGAAGGCAAAGATAAATCGTGTTACATGGGCGACATAAAAAAATTATAAAATGGTTTAAATGAATGTAGCGCTTTATTGTGATGAATAAATAATAAATTTTGCAAAAAATGTTGTTTTAATAGTTAGGAACGGGACTTTATAGGTTAGGCACCGACAGAATATATCATACACTACGAATATAAGGTTTATTATCAATTTTCTAGAACCGAACGCCACAATTAACTCATTTGCGCTTATGAATGATATAATTCCCAATATCTAACTATATCATTTCCCAAATTTACTCTACATTCAAAATTTCTTCAGAACTAACTATTGTAGTTTGCCATTAAAAAAATATTTTACACGCACGTTCCAAAATAACACGCACAATTCCGAAAAGCTAAACTAAATAAAAATCAAGTACTAATTTATTCACATTAACAACATCAGAAGAATGTTAACATTTTTTCAAAATTCGTTCTTCTTCTTAATGTGCCCTATCAAGTCCCCTTGACGTTGGCGATTAACATGGTAAAATTCAAAAAGGTACTGACTTGTTCAGGGTTCGATCTTCAACTGAGACTAAGGTTTACTAAGTGCTACGTATGGTCAGTGCTGCTATATGGCGTAGAGGACTGGACACTCAAAACGAGAGATATAAACAGATTGGAAGCTTTCGAAATGTGGCTTTATCGCCGTATCCTAAAAATACCATGGACAGCGAAAATCACAAATATAGATGTCCTTAAAAGAATAAACCAAGAACGCCAACTTTTCGAAACCATCAAGAAAAGGAAAACGGCGTATCTAGGTCACATCATGCGAAATGAAAAATACCAGTTCCTCCAACTTATAATCGAGGGTAAAATTGAAGGCAGGAGAGGAATGGGACGCAAGAAAATGTCCTGGCTCCGAAACATAAGGCAATGGACAGGGATTAACGACATACAATCTCTGATACATATTGCAAGAAATAGAGAATTAATGGAAAATGTGATCGCTAGAATCCATTAGTGGATTTGCATCTGAAGAAGAAGAAGATTAACATGGCGAAACTGTCTCTGTTTAGAGCTATTCTAAATAGTTGCTCAGCTTTCAGCTCAGTCTCAACAAAATTCGTTATGGATTGTTAATCTCCGCAAGAAGTCATATATTTGTTCTTCTAACTGTACAAGATATTCAAAGCATACTTCTCCAACATTCTGTATATACCTAAGTAAATATGTCGTTCTCGTCGGATTAGATAGCAACATCATCACTACAAAAGATTTCCAAAAGAAATCACGAAAGTAGAAATCCGAAGATTTCTATTGACGAAACCAAGCTTTAATCTGTGTCTTCTAAAAATTGCAAGGCAAAACAGACGTTGCTAAAGATGAAAAAGAGAGAAAATTGCATTCCACAACATATCTTCTCAACTGAGCAAAAATCCTTGGCGAATTGGTTTCTTGTGCCCTTCTTCTTCTTAACGTGCCCTATCAAGTCCCCTTGACGTTGACGATTAACATGGCGAAACTGTCTCTGTCTCGAACTATTCTAAAGAGTTGCTCAGCTTTCCTTATTCCTGTCCACTCCCTGATATTCTTCAACCAAGAGGCCTGCTTTCTACCAATTCCTCTGCGTCCTTCAATTTTACCCATCATAATAAGTTGAAGAATATTATATCTGTCTCCTCTTACTACGTGTCCAAAATAGGACATCTTTCTAAATTTGATGTTATCAAGCAGCTCGCGAGCAGCATTTGCTCTCTCAAGGACTGCCACATTTGTCAGCATAGCCGTCCATGGAATTTTTAGTATACGTCTGTGCAGCCACATTTCAACGACCTCCAGACGATTAATGGTGGATATTTTTAATGTCCATGCTTCGACACCGTATAAGAGGACTGATCAAATGTAGCATTTAACCATGCGCTTTCGAAGTTGAAGTTGCAAGTTATCATTACAGAAGAATGACCTCATTTTTAAAAATGTCGTGCGGGCTATTTCGATTCTACATTTTATCTCTTGATCTGGATCTAGTTGTTCAGTAATATGGCAACCAAGGTAATTAAAACTAGACACTCTTTTCTTCCACTCATGGGAGAACCTTTCACTTTTCTTCACTCTGGTCCATTCATGTCATCACTTAAAATAACTGTATCGTCTGCATATCTGATTGTATTTATCAGAATTCCATTAACTTTCACGCCCCATTCCAAATTATGCAGCGCTTCTTTAAATATTCTATCTGAATATAAATTAAATAACAGTGGGGATAGTGTACAACCCTGTCTGACACCTCTTTGTATTTTACATATTTCTGTTGATTTTCCGGTTATGCAAGCTGTCGCTGTTTGACGCCAGTATAACTTTTCTATGAATCGTATGTCTTGACTATCAACTCCTTTATCTTTTAATATTGTAATTAATTTGTGATGCTGTACTCGATCAAAGGCCTTTTCATAGTCAATAAATACAGCAAAGACGTCTTTTCTTTGATCTCGACATTTCTGCAGTAATGCATTTAGTGCAAAGAGGGCGTCCCGAGTTCCCAGTCTATTTCTGAAGCCAAATTGTGTTTCATCCTGGTCTTCTTCACATTTATCTCTGATTCTACTGTGGATGATAAGTAGAAATATTTTCAAAGTGTGGCTCATAGGGCTTATCATTCTATAATCGCTACAGTTTTTCGGACGTTGTTTTTTTGGTAGTGTTATGAATTCGGACTTTAACCAATCTTCAGGAATATCACCAGTCGAATAAACATTATTGAAAAGGTTGACCAGTATTCCAATGTTCTCCTCATTTATAAGCTTTAACATCTCTGTCGGTATGTTATTGTGCCCATAAAGAGTATATCGAAATAAAAAAAGACTATTTTAGGATTTGATTTCACATATAGTGCCCTGTATATTCGCTTATACGTATTTCATCCTAACAGGATTCATCAGAGCGACTTTTACAGAAGCTCTGAACTTGACAACAATCTTTCCTGTCAAACAAAGGGAATGTAATTTATATAACTGTAAACGATTTTTTTGAGTATTTCTTCTTATATCCTTATTTCTTTGCTTATTAACCAATCTTAAAGCTCTTTCTTTTTCTAGTTACTGATATATCATTTTTTTTTGTCTATTCTGTATATAATAAGAATTTCATTTACCACTTTTAAAATTGCGTCCTAAAATCTTCGAAGAGAATAGCATAATCTAAATGTTTATTTGTACTGCCAAGTACTGAACCTGGGACTTCACTTTCCGTTTGGATCTCGGCAAGCCACCTCCATCTAGAGATTTTGGTCCTCTAGCGGGAGAACAATTTCATTCACCCGCCAGAAGTAAAAGGAGTGGAGTTGGAAGTTTTTTTTGCAAGGTTTTTGCTTTTATTTTTGAGGGCGCTATATTATGGTTTTCTTAATTTCTAGTTTATCTCTTGTTATCAAGATGAAATATGTCTCCTTACAGGAGACAGAGCCTAAACAGTATCTCTACGTTTCATAGTTTCCTATGGCACCTTTAGTTTGGAACCTCTGGAAAGCAGTTCATCCATATATTCGTCATTAAATGAAACCTTATAGACTACATCTAAAGTGTATGGTGAAACAAGCATAATTCACTGTAAGTTTTTATTTCATTTTTGGTATTTCTGTTACAGAAAATTAACAAAAGCTGAAATTTTCTTAATGTCCCGTCCATGTAACATTAATGACCAGTGTCAAAAATATATATCACTGTATCAGGGGTATATTTTTTATTTTCTTGTATGTCTAGTAATTAAATAATAATTGATGTATCTAGATTGTATGACCATGACCAAGGTAAATTCTTATTTTATTTTTTATTTTCATTTTTTCTTCTTCATAGAGAACATTTTGAGATTAAACATTTACCAAGACAGTCAGAAGAATAATAATTAAATTCTTATTAAAAGATATGTTTTAAAAGTATAATATTTTTGTATGGACATTTCTGTTACTATGATTTTCTTTTTTACTCTCTTTCTGATTTGGTTTACAATAAATCGTTTCAGCATCCCCAATTTAGATATGTTCACCCACTTGCTAATGCTCGCCGTTTTCCTTCAAAACACCTGAGAGCGGGTAGTATTGTGAACGTCTTTAAACCTGGATTTCTTGGTTTAACTTAAATTCAAACACAGAACATCCTTTTTCGAGAGTTTTTTTGTTACCCAAAATTGCTCACAACTTCTGGACCTCCTTTACACCCATCCAACTTTATTGTACGTCACACTGTTAGGTAGTGGTTTCTTTAATATTCAATGATAACTGCACTAGAAAATATATAATTTGACCAAAATATTCTTCGAAAACATCACAAGTCGTTCCTATTGTCTTTCGTAGAGTTTGAACAAATTCTAACATTTATCTAACAATTCTAAACCTTAATCAACGAATCTTTTATATCCTTAAATACGAGTTATGCTCAAACGACGACCTTTATCAGTTGGAAATTATAATCCGGTAGATAAACCTTCAGTCAACTCTTGACGAGCATTTGTAACCTGTTTATCTTGTCAAACTTTTAATTTTCGAATTTCAAATATCGCTCCCTTCAACAAATTATTTCTTTTTTTTTCTATTAATATAGATTTTTATCTGTACTTATAGAGAGAGATATCATATCTTTTGATTTTGCACTAATTAGACTTCGTCGGCGACTTTTGAGATAATCGTCATCGAACCAGACAGAGTCTATGTGGTTTCTGCGATATTTGTATGGTATGTATTTTAAAATTTTCCCTCTATGTCATTATCCTGTAGAACTTCGGTATTCCTTACAGTTGTTGGCGTATTCCTGTGAGTTTTTTGGGACGATATTCTTTTAACTTCTTACTTCGAACTTCCCTTCCTAGGATCTACTAGAACATAATCGATCTGATTTTATATGACACCGTCGTTGGAGACACACGTTTCTATAACCATTTTCTTGTACTCGAACATTGTTGATTTTATTAGCAGACGTAATGTGATGTGCTGCAAAGCATCACATAGTTTATTACTACTGACCTCATGGAGACTATGGTTATTTAGTGTTGGTCTGTGTGCTGCTTCCTTCCCAATCTTTGCATTCAGATCCCCCAAGATAATATGCATATGCTGTGTGGGGAGATTATTTGTTAGTTCCTCTAGTTTTCAGAGAAGTTGTCTCTTCTTTTCTCTTCCTTTTTCTCTGTCAGGGCATGGACGACAATTAGTGAGAAGTTATACAGCTATCCTTTTCGTCTAATATAGCAGAGCCTTTCGTTAACGGGTTTAAAGGTCCTGACTAACGCTAAAAAGACTTTGTTTGACTATGAAGCCAGTGCCACATTGGTGCTCCTGTAATCTCTCGTAAGGCAGTTGTGTCCATGTTTCTCGATTCAAGTTTTTTTACCACCTGAGTTAGAGCTCCAGATCGAAATAGGCTTAATACATTCCAGGTTCCTACATTCATTGTCCTTTGTTATCGCTTTTATCTGCTTAAAAAAAATCATTCCTTATTAGGCTTTCGAGACATGTGTTTCATTTTCATAACTGGTTGTTTTTTGTACAAGAAGGAATAGTTACTCCCTCGCTTAATCCTGCTCCTTTCTCATCCTGGACTTGTGACTAAAATTAGCTATATTTTAGCTTATATAGCTGTAGCTAAAATTCAAATATATATCGTATCTGTCAAATCTATCTTTTTACTGAACGTTATTAAAGTATCCAAATATTAATAACAACCCATATTTACAAAACCCAAAAATTATTTATTAATTCGTACTCACTATTGTTCACTTTAATACAATTATTATTTATACATGTTCTTGAACCTATTCTCAAAAAATTACTACTGCTACCTACGCCGTTACAGTTTCTCCAATCCCCTCCCCATGGTACTCCCACGCACAAAGAAAATAGATTATATAAATAGGAAGTCCATAAATTATATAAATAACCATACCAATAGCACTCAGTAATGATTAAGAGAATCAAACATTGAATGAAAATATGGACTTAGAAATGGAAACAAATGTATATGTAAATCATTTATATCCATTAAAAAGACGTCCAATAATTTCATTCTTTCATAAAGAAAAATAAAAAGTATAGTAATGAACTAAGGTTAATAGTGAAGGATTTATTTTAGAATTATATCTGATTATGTCTTCCCCAAAAAATATTTAAGTTGATGTTATAAATCCATAGCTTTTAGTGTAATATCAAGATCAAACTTTAAACTTTAAATATGTACTTACTGTTGCATCGTCACTACCGGTGCCCACTGCATCACCACTGGGATGAAACTTGACACTGTTGACGTCAGATTCATGTCCCTCGAAGGATTGGACGCACTGCCCCGTTCGCATATCCCAAATCAACACCATTTTATCGCAACTCTACAAAAAGTAAGAATTTCTAGTAACAATTAAATATCAAATATTTTATAATCTAAACAAACTACACATTTTACATAGTCACATATAAATGTCTTTTTAACCGAAAATATATTGTGACATTACTTCATCTTTGTGATATTATATGGTACAATACAATATTATAGCACAAATTATTATCACTTATATTCTTCTTCTTCTTCCTTCAACAGCCGATGACTGTCCAGTTCTGGACATACTCCTCCGCTTATTGTTTCTATTTTAATTTGACTCTTGCTTCCTGGTAACATTGTCTTCACGCGTTTCCTTTCAAATCATCCAGCTATCTTTTTGGAGGTCGATCCACACCTCTACTATGTAACTTAGGTTCCCAATGTACTATGCATTTAGTCCACCTGGTTTAGTCACTTTAGACCGAGAAATAAGATTTTTTTCGTAACACTCAACCGGCCAGGCAAACAACAGTTGTCTTGCGTATGTAGTATGGATCTCTGTAACAAGAACCTATATATGCTTCCTGCAGTCGGTTTTTTGGACTTTAATTAGTTTTTAATAAATTAATGTCAAAAAACGGTAAATGTTCACTGTTGTCGTCTATCAGCAAAAAGTGGAACATTTGAAACAAATTTAAGAGTACTATACTTACAAGTCATATAAAACCCTTCAAAATGGAGTTTCTTAAATGTTTTTATCCGTATTTGTTGCTTAGAAAGTTGTAAAATAAGTCGGAAATTTCGGTTTTTGATAAATGTTAAGAACTTTTTTAAAAATAAACTTAGAACCTTCATATTACAATAAGTGATTGATCAAATAGTTTAAAAGTTATTTAATTTGTTTATCCCAAATTAATTTTTTTTTGTAACAGTGTAAGTTAATAAATGATAATTTACAGTGATTCTACAAATAGCCTATGAAAGAAGACGATTTGTTCGATCAATATTAATAAAAAATATATTAAGAAGAACGAGTTCAAATATTGCAAAACTATTTTGGAAAAACAATGTCGATTTTTTGCTTATAAACAATTAGAGTAACTTTTTAACTGTTGCCTACACGAAAATTCTTTTTTCAATTTTAAAAAAGAAAAAGTTTTCTTAAGAAAATTTGGGATGAAGTTCCTTTTTTTAAATTGATTGCAGTTTTGTTTATAACAATTAAGATATTTAATTACCGTCATTTTGTAACCGTTTCAAAAGTTTTAGAAAATTCATTATAAATTCGATTAATTTTTTTCAATTTTAAAAAAGAAAAAGTTTTCTTAAGAAAATTTGGGATGAAGTTCCTTTTTTTAAATTGATTGCAGTTTTGTTTATAACAATTAAGATATTTAATTACCGTCATTTTGTAACCGTTTCAAAAGTTTTAGAAAATTCATTATAAATTCGATTAATTTTTTTAAATAAAATTGCTAACCCCGTCTATCTGCCGAGTACTTGTATTTGACTCAAGGATTCTACTGTTGCCGATTCATTCATCAAGCTGTTTGCTTCGCAAGTTTTAGGGGGCACGGCGGCTTATATTTGAATTCGATTTCGCCAGGTAGTAATCGTATGATTTCTCTTTTTGTTCTTAGATGGCGTAGTTACGTCCGTAAATAGTTATTTTTAATAACTATAATCTACGACGGGAAAATATTTTGGTTTGATATGGAGTAGTAACTATACCGTACTGAGGAGATCTAAAGAGATCGAAATACGTATATGCGGCTTGTTGCTGCTCTGCATAAAATCAAAATATAATACCGTCATTCTGTTTTTAATAAAGTATAGTTTTGTTGTAAACTTTCTATAAATTCTTATTTTTTTCTCTTTTTCGTCCCCTTCGAGGTTAAACCAGGGGTTGCGTCCAACAATAAATTATAATTTCATATTATCTAATTGTGCTTGGATTTAAGATGTGATACAGTTTCTATAGGGTTAAAGAAACCCCGCCCAACTCTCTTCGACAATTAGCGATTCTGGCCTTGTATTTAATTTGTATGCCAAATGCTTATCAAGCATGTACGCTACAATTTGAAAGAACATACTTTAAAGTTTTAATGTGACAAATTTGAAAGAGAATACCTTTCAACGGAATTAACAACAAAGCTTTAAAATATGGTCCTCAAAATAGCCAGCTTTAAAACTCGCGCAAGCGATGGAGGTGAAGGAACTGTTAACTATATCTCTGGTTCTTGTTTATTTCGACGTTTTTATTTTAATTTGTATGTACTTTTTATATACGTTACGAATACGTATTATTCAAAGAAATAAATTGTTAAATAAACAAACTAATTTGTTTATTATTTTTGGTAATTTTTATTTATTGTTAAACATAAATATTAATGATTTTTTACCTTTTTAAATAAAACTTTTGTGATTTATGGTACAACCAACTACAGGAATGTAGCCTGTATGTAGTTGTATACAGCCAACTACAGGAATTTTACTTTCCTTGTGGATGAATAAATGTTTTCAGGAATGTCAAATTTCATAGTTTCATTCATTTATTGACATCACCAAAGCTGCTAATACTGCTTTCTCGTGAGCCATGAAAGTATGGATATCCATAGCCGACAGTCTATATGATTTAAAGTTAACAGCAAGTTTCCTGACTGGGGACGTATGGTGAATTAATGATGCGAATCCGAACCAAATATGAAACAAATTGTCATTTTTCAGCATATCCATTGCTATATATTTAAAATGAAAATTTTAAACGTGAATAATAGATGACAAACTTACTAAAATTATATTTTAATATTTAATATGTTATATATGGATGAATTTTGAAGTAATAACTTTCATATGTATTGAAGATGCTCTATACTAAGATTTCCATTAATAAGAGCATCAGCAGGTGTAGGAAAATTTTTGATTTTCTCCAATATTTATTTATACAATTCTATACCGCCACATATGTCTTTTTGTTTACCATAAATGAAATAAACGTCATGTACGTTATCCTCTATGTGTTCGATAAATATTTTCTACGAATGTACAAGTGATATTCTTATATTTATTATTATTAATTTACTATTACTGCTAATACCTAAACTTACCCCCGAAACAAAAGTATTTCCAGTTTCTGATGGAGCCAAATCGATGGCCATGACATCGGAAGAATGTCCATGAAAACTCTGTAGCAACTGTCCAGATTCAACATCCCAAAGGGCACAAGTTGAGTCTCCGCTCCCAGTTAATATCTAGGATTTTAAAACAATTACTAAATGTAACAAATTATCATTCCAATTCAAAAATAAAAATGTGGAAATGTGTCTTCAAAGGAAATAAACTAGAATGACCTTCGAATTAAAGCTAATCTTGATTAAAAGCAGCATTGAGCAAAAATACGATCAATGGGTGTATTCTGTCTAAGCCTGCGCCTATCTGGTTGTCTCATCAAGTTCCCAATATGATGGGATGTTTTGTTAACTTGTCTTCCTATTTTCGAGCGAAGTTACTAATTTCTTCTTTTACCGTATTTAAAGATCGTGTTTGATAATATTACTTGTTACTTTGTAAATGTTACCAAAGGCTTCTACAGTATTTACTATGAACGTTCAGGTTTTATATACGAAATCTAACATATTATTATACATAGATCAGGACCTAAGTCTGAAGTTAGTTACGAACCAGGTATTTAAATGTATTCCCGTCTACGTGTTATCTCTACATTCTTATGACTGGTAATGGATTATGTTAAGGCCTAATGGATCGCCTTCTTCAAAGGTACTTTATGCAAGATACCTGAAACCAGAAACGAGAGTTAAACTGAGAAGGTGTTACATTTTTTGAATCTACTCTACGGAATGAAAACGTGAATCCTTAGAACGGCAACTACTAAGAAACTGGAAGCATTTCAAGGACATATATATAGTAGAAGCCTAAAAATATTATAGACAGAACATGTAAAAAACAATGAAATCTTGAAAAGAATTAACAAATAATCAGAATAATGGATACAATAAAAATACGAGAGGTTATACAATATCTTAAAATTTTATGCGTGGGAAAAGATCTATTTCGAGCTGCTCTGAATAGAATAAGATTTGACAAAGTGGTCGCCAACATGACTAGAAGGTCTGAGCAAAAAATCAGTTGGAGTAGCCGTTGATTCATAAACAAGTTCTGGTGAAGATATAATAATTATCCAGTGGAAGGATATTACCATCGTTCACGTGGCTTCAAATTGTTATGGCGTTCAACCTACACAATCGGTACGTCGTTATACTGCAGCAGAATATATATATATATATATATATATATATATATATATATATATATATATATATATATATATATATATATTAAGGATCACTCAGACGAGTGGTGGGTTCTTATATCGGTCTCAAGGTGGAGAAATAAAAGACAAAGTTGATAGGCTACTTTATCTATTTTGAAGACGTTTCGCTTTCGTATTTTGAAAGCATCATCAAATCATCTAAAAAGTACAATATGAGAACCACACAATCATGGAAACGATGTTATAATTGTTACCTTAAAAAGACATGTAGCAGTCAATGTTATTTACAAATATATGAATAAAACTCAAGTAAATGGACATTATACGGTGATATTGTATAAACAATCAAGTAACTAACAACATATAGCAACTTATAAAAAATTAGCACAGCAACTGACCATGGGGTCTAAAGTCTCATATTTCATTTACTTGAACACTGCAGTGCAGTGACATGTTTTTTGCATAACGTACGTACGACAATTTTTTTTTGTATTTCGGAATAACCTTTGATTTTTGTACATAACCCAAGCGTTTGTATGTTCAGTACTTTAGTGATCAAGGGATAATTGTTATACTTTTTGTCCAGCTAATTTGTAGGTGTATTTTATTAGACAGTCAGTTATAATACCCATAATATCATATTTATGCTATAACTGATTTAAATTCACGTTTCAGCTTTACCCAGTTTGTCAAGTTTTTCCCATCCCTCGCCAAAGGACAAAGTAGCAACCTTAATTTTTTTTCTTTGTTTTAGTACCAAACTCTGTCATTTTCATTGGTACGTTTCAATTCTCAATTTACTTATTAAAGATATACATACAATTTACAATATCAATGAACGCAGTTAAGTCGAATGGTTGGTGTTCATTTGTTGAAGTACAAAGTTTTCTCAGAAATAATATGGCAACAATTACATATAGTTAATATTCCTGTTTGTACATGAGCATTAAGGTTCAATACTTTCACAGTCACTTTGATTTTCACAAAACATAGGTGACTTCAGTAAAGAACGGGGAAAAAGATGCCATCAGGATATTAAAACAATAAAACTCTTTATCAAGGAAGTTGGGATAGCTATATAATATTTTACTATTGTTGGAGCCTTCACCAGGATTACTCTGGATAACCACATTAAAAAAATATTAAAAATGCTGTATATTAAGAACAAACTGAATATTTTAAGAAGTAAAAAATGTAAATCTACATAATAAATAATACTGATTGATTGATCGACATTGTTTTTAATTTTATTATAATAAATAAAAAAAAAATACCTGTTGATCCGAGTTTGGAAAAATACAACAGCTCATGTAGCTAGTATGGGTTCCTACTGTCTTCTTTCTAAGAGAAACATCTTCTTCGAGGCTTAACGGATACACAGTTACTTTATTGTCTAGTCCCCTATTAAAAGTAAACATAATAAAAAAAATATTTATATATTGTAGCAAAAATCATTTTATAACATAGAAAATAAACTCAAAGTTACTGATGCATGTATTTTAGAGTAATAAAATATTATGCTGAGTAAAAATTAAATTCCAAAAAATATATACAGCAAATTCGCACATCTAAGCATTTCCTAACTTTATTTTGGGAGCTTTCCTTCTGCTTCAGGTTGAAGTAGAAGAAAATCTTCGCTATGAAGGTTGACTATCATCATGGAGTTTTTTAGATTTTAAAACAGCTGCTCTAAAGAGTTTAGCTAAACTGCATCCAAACTACTCCCACAATTTCTGAACCAGAATATTCGTCTTGTTTATACACTTTTTTGCCACTGTAGCTATAAGAATCCTTCTTTATCTGTAATTTGGGTCCTTATAATATACATGTCATTTACATGTGGCAGGGAGTTGGAAGCTTCTATTTAATATTGTGCCTTTGGTGTTAATACCGAAAGTTTTTGTGACTTTATGTCATAAGGTGGCACCTTGTGACTTTTTGATTTTGTCAAGTGTGTCACCTTGTCTAGCACCACTATTGATTACATTGGTACGAGGCAGATGTCTACTTAACCGAATTTTGGTCTCTACAGTCTTGTTTCTACAAATTAGTTTCATATGTTTACCAAAAATTTGGTATTCCAAACCCTTGCATTACATTGTAAAGGACCTTACTGTTTATTCTGTCAGAAGTCGATTTAAAATCAACAAAGATGTGGTATGAATCAATACCACATTCCTTTGTCATTTCCAGAAGTTATCTTAGTATTGATATTTGATCTAATGTTGACTTTTCTGCCCGAAAACCAGTTTGATATTTTCCTATTATATTAACTGCATAGGGTCTTAAGTGAGAGCATAGGATGTAAGGGAATATTTTATAAGCTGGATTTAGTAGAGTGGTCCCTCTGTAGTTGTGGAATTCAAGCAAATCGTCTTTTTTTTTGTGGATAAGGCATATTATTCCAAAGTTTCACTCGTCTGGTTACTTACGTCGTTTCCATATTTTTATCAATTTGTATAAATTAAATATATACTTTTCTCCGGCTATTTTAAACAGTTCTAGTACCGTCTGTCGAACTTCATCAAAGCTTGGTAGGTTATTTTGTTGATTTTCTTCATAATCTCTATTTGCCGGTTACTGTTTTGTATAGATTGTTGAGTTTGACAGGTATTATTTGAATGGTTCAAAATGTCTCATCGAGCGGTTCATTATATCTGGCTCGTTTTTTGACACAGTTAAGTCTGTCTGTGTCTTTAGGGTGAGTTGTTATTGGTTTTGTTTTGATCTTGTTTGACCTTGTTCTTGTTAGGTTTAAACTCCTATAAAATCTTCTATTTAATTTCTCTATTCAGGTCTTCGATATCCTTCAGCTGTTTCTCGAATTATTCTATTCTGTATTTAACTTTTCTATCTTATTATTTCTTGTCTTTACCTTATTACCAAGTAATAATCTGAATCGATATTGTCTCCTCCAAAACTTCTGCAATCCATAATGTCTGATCCGTGCTTAGTATCTATTATTCTTCTTCTTAACGTGCCCTATCAAGTCCCCTTGACGTTGGCGATTAACATGGCGAAACTGTCTCTGTCTCAAACTATTCTAAAGGGTTGCTCAGCTTTCCTTATTCCTGTCCACTCCCTGATATTCTTCAACCAAGAGGCCTGCTTTCTACCAATTCCTCTGCGTCCTTCGATTTTACCCATCATAATAAGTTGAAGAATATTATATCGGTCAAGGACTGCTACATTTGTCAGCATAGCCGTCCATGGAATTTTTAGTATACGTCTGTGCAGCCACATTACAAAGGCCTCCAGACGATTAATGGTGGATATTTTTAATGTCCATGCTTCGACACCATATAAGAGGACTGACCAAATGTAGCATTTAACCATGCGCTTTCGAAGTTGAAGTTGCAAGTTATCATTACAGAAGAATGACCTCATTTTTAAGAATGTCGTGCGGGCTATCTCCATTTTACATTTTATCTCTTGATCTGGATCTAGTTCTTCAGTAATATGGCAACCAAGATAATTAAAACTGGACACTCTTTGAATTATATGACCATCAACATATAATCGTCCATCTTGATGTGCCAAGCGGCTAAACACCATGTGTTTTGTTTTTGAACAGTTTATGTTTAAAAAAAAAAGAGGTTAATCTTTGTAAGTGGGTATATTTATTTAAAAAACCCTTAAAAGGGCCACATCAATAGAACAAACGTTTTCGGACTAAACAGTCCATCATCAGGTTATTAAAATCGAAAATGCCTAAAAATAAGTATAAACCATTTAGTTAAAACAAACGAGATTTTGAAATTTTGACTAAGGTTGAAAAGCAAAAAATGGTTATACTTACTAGGTCATAATGCCTGAGCCACCAAAATATTAGGGTGAAAACCCTTTAAATTACATTTAGTTATGAAATTATTTACATTGTGTTAGAAAATAACTGTGATGTTCTATATTAAATTAAATTTGACCAAAGGTAACACATGGCTCAAATGGGTTCCAGAGCCGGGCGAGAGGCAACCTCTGCGCTCGGAGAACAACGTGGAACTGATTGACAAGATACTTTTGAAGGATGAAGATAACAGAATGTCAATGCAACAAAAACTATAAAAGTTGTACATAGTATTACTACAGCCAAAAGATTCAACAAGTTTTGATGATTTTAAAATAACAACAATGTAGGTGTTGGGATTTAAAAACTTTTTATTTATTAATTTAGGGTATAAAAGATGTCAAATCAATGATGGTTTTATAGTCATGATTAATATAATGACCTGTGCCTTAGGCAACTTATGTTGCTTTTCGTCGTATGGAATGTGGTCTAAAGTGTATTTAGTTTTTGGGTTAGCTTGTATTTGTGGAATTTATCCTTTTATGTTTAACACATCTAGGACAAGGTAAAAATTAAATAACAAATATTTGAAGCTAATATAGGACCTCATGTTTAAATGACTTTATTTAGGAATGCTCCTATGGTGAAGAATTAATAAAATTAAGTTTAGTAAGATGGAAATCTACAGGCTGAAGAAATTGAAGTAGTAGCATATGTGATTGAATTTGAAATCGAAGAGACTGGGTTCCTCAGAGACTGATGAGAATGAAATTAAAAGAAATGAAAGGAGGGGGGGGTTGAAGGAGAAAAGGAGTTGATCAACAATTAGAGATAATAGGGGTCCTTTATACTTAAAGTATCTAGCACCCTGAACAAAATCTATTTAGGTGGTATTAAATTCAGTTTGTAGAAACCTGAAATTTGTTGTATAAGTGTGCTACTAAGTTGTTGACCGAAAGAAGGTGGACAAAGGTAGATTAGGATTCTATGTAATATGGTAGATTATGATTTTTAATAAATTGTTAGATAATGTTTAAGTGATTACTAAATTAAAACTATTGGATACATGTTTAATATATGAATTGACCAAGAAATAATGAAAGAGAACAAAATTAACAGGAAAACGATGTAGAAGTGAAGAGTGAAGTGAGTGAAGAGATAAGATAGTGAAATGTTGGTATGGAGGATGTGGATGGTTCTGAAGTTAAAATTGGGGTCAGAAATTTGTGAGAGGAAGGTGTGACGATATTGTATAAACAGGGGTGTTTGAAGAACCACAAGATTATGTAGGAATAAGGTGTTGACGTTTGTATAGGAAAATAAGGCAAAGAAAATAGGACAGTATTGTGAAGTGTGGACTATGAAAAAAGTTGACGATGTAAAGGTTGAAAGTCACGGTTGAAAGATACATGGCGATTAACACAATTGGGGCTTTTTTGTTTTTCTTTGACTATTTCCAAGTCTTCATATAGGTCTAATTTTAGAAAATTTTTTTGGGGAATATTATGTAACAAAGAGACGTCTTCTGGGATGTTGAGGGTATGTTTATGTTGTGCAAGGTGTTGAGAGAAGGTGGAAGTGTTCTCTTTTTTAGTGTGTTCTAAGGAACGAGAAGTTAGTGATCTACAGGTTCTACCTATATATGTAGCATCACAATCAGAGCATTGTAATTTATAAACGCCACTACGATCCATGTAGTTGATGGGATCTTTTGTATTAGTTAAGCATTGTCCTAGATTGTTCGCATTCCCTTTTCTTTCAAAGTCCCGAACAATCTAGGACAATGCTTAACTAATACAAAAGATCCCATCAACTACATGGATCGTAGTGGCGTTTATAAATTACAATGCTCTGATTGTGATGCTACATATATAGGTAGAACCTGTAGATCACTAACTTCTCGTTCCTTAGAACACACTAAAAAAGAGAACACTTCCACCTTCTCTCAACACCTTGCACAACATAAACATACCCTCAACATCCCAGAAGACGTCTCTTTGTTACATAATATTCCCCAAAAAAATTTTCTAAAATTAGACCTATATGAAGACTTGGAAATAGTCAAAGAAAAACAAAAAAGCCCCAATTGTGTTAATCGCCATGTATCTTTCAACCGTGACTTTCAACCTTTACATCGTCAACTTTTTTCATAGTCCACACTTCACAATACTGTCCTATTTTCTTTGCCTTATTTTCCTATACAAACGTCAACACCTTATTCCTACATAATCTTGTGGTTCTTCAAACACCCCTGTTTATACAATATCGTCACACCTTCCTCTCACAAATTTCTGACCCCAATTTTAACTTCAGAACCATCCACATCCTCCATACCAACATTTCACTATCTTATCTCTTCACTCACTTCACTCTTCACTTCTACATCGTTTTCCTGTTAATTTTGTTCTCTTTCATTATTTCTTGGTCAATTCATATATTAAACATGTATCCAATAGTTTTAATTTAGTAATCACTTAAACATTATCTAACAATTTATTAAAAATCATAATCTACCATATTACATAGAATCCTAATCTACCTTTGTCCACCTTCTTTCGGTCAACAACTTAGTAGCACACTTATACAACAAATTTCAGGTTTCTACAAACTGAATTTA